GATCTGCAGTGGACAGGGGTGTGCAGTGGACAGGCATCTGCAGTGGACAGGTGTCTGAAGTGGACAGGTGTCTGCAGTGGACAGGGATCTGCAGTGGACAGGTGTCTGCAGTGGACAGGTGTCTGCAGTGGACAGGTGTCTGAAGTGGACAGGGATCTGCAGTGGACAGGGGTGTGCAGTGGACAGGCATCTGCAGTGGACAGGCGTCTGAAGTGGACAGGTGTCTGAAGTGGACAGGTGTCTGAAGTGGACAGGGATCTGCAGTGGACAGGGGTGTGCAGTGGACAGGGGTGTGCAGTGGACAGGGGTGTGCAGTAGACAGGGATCTGCAGTGGACAGGGGTGTGCAGTGGACAGGGGTGTGCTGTGGACAGGTGTCTGCAGTGGACAGGGGTGTGCAGTGGACAGGGATCTGCAGTGGACAGGGATCTGCAGTGGACAGGGGTTGCTGTGGACAGACATCTGCTGTGGACAGAAGTTTGCAGTGGATGGGGTCTGCAGAGGTTTCCTTTTCTCAACATGCCCTTTACTATCCAGAAGCTGACCACCCTCACCTGTGATGTCTCAGGGTATAAAATCATTCTCTTCATTGGACCTGTTGGCACAGACCTGCAATATCAGCTACTCAGGAGGCTGAAGCAAGAGTATCACAAGTTCAAGTTCTGTTCGGATTACAGAGCAAGCTCAAGGCCAGCCTGGGCAACTTAGTGAGACCCTGTCTATAACCAAGTGGCAGAAGAGATGAGGATACATCTTAGTGGTAGGGTGTTGACTAGTCTGCATGAGGCCTTGGACTCAGTTCTCAGCAGAGGAAAAAAATTCCCCAGAGATTTGTGCCACCTGATATATACACAATAGAGCTGCAGCCTTAGTCTGAGGAAGATATCTATGATCTGGATACTTCTAAGTCTCCCAGAGCTGCTCATTCATAGAAATGAAATGGCAGGTCCTTTCCTTTCAGGGAACTTCCAGAATAAAGCTATGAAAACACGTGAATTGACACCCATGTCCCTAAGAACTCCTGGAAGGCTATGTTCTGTTGCTGGCCCCCACCTTCTGCTCCACTGTGGATGTGTTGGGTCAGCTCAGTGACTTCCTCAAAGATGGCTGCAGCTCTGTTCTACATCCCCACCCCATCACCCTGGGATCCTCTCCTGTGTCACACAAGGTCAGAGGTAAAGGATGCTGTTCAGTGTCTCTTTTACTCTCTCGTTCTCATCCTCCTCTTCCTTAGCCTCTCCTTCTGTAGTATATGTGCTGTTGTCTTCTAGAACAGCCATCAGTCTACAGAAAGGATTCAATCATGTAGAGGGGAGGTCTGTTTGTTGGGGTGCATTTTATTCCTGGGTGACTGAATGATTTCACAGAATTCTGGCTCCCAATCTCATATCCTGAATGCTCTTTAATTTTTGAGTAACCATTTATGTAAGGCTCTTCTGCCCGCTTGGAGTTCTAGGTCTGAGCTGCCAGGGTAGGGCACAGTCACTGATAGGTTATATTCACTGATAGGCCCTTATACATCCTATCTGTTTGTAGGTGGGTTTTCAAGTGTGAGGTATGCTTCCTCTTGAGGTTCTGATGATGACTATCAGGCTGGGTGGTAAAGGGAAGCTCCCTGCTGATTCTCATGTGGAGAACCACACTGCACCTTCTCTAGCAGGTGGACCCGTCTGTCTCCTTCCAACCTGCTTCATTTTCTTACTCCGTAGTCCAAATATCAGGAAAATAAAAACTAGCATCCTAATTAATCCCATGAAACCAAAGACTGATGACACAAAACACAATGAGTAAAAATCTGTGTCAAAAACCTTTAGATTTGTTATGCTTTCTATTTTATTTTTGTTACATTGGCTTTTTCTATTTGGATATAGGGTCTCAGGTAACCTAGGCTGGCCTCAAACTCCTTATGCAGCTCACAATCATTCCTAATGAGATTTGGTACCCTCTTCTGGCCTGTAGACATACATGCAGGCAGAATACTACATATATAATAAATAAATAAATCTTAAAAAACAAAATAAGATTAGAAAACATAAGACTGATGGGCATGGTGCATGCCTATAACTCCTATTCTCTGGACAAATCTGGAGGACTGGAAGTTCAAGGCCAAGTTGAGCTACAAAGTGAGACTCTGTCTCAATAAAAATGTTTTTTTAATTCTAATTATTGAAAAAGAAAGTGTGAAGGATGGAGAGATGGTTCAGTGTGCTCTCTTAGTTCCTTTCCTATTGCTGTAAAGAGACACCATGACCCTGTTTGTTGTTCTTCATTTGCCCTTCCTCTCCCTTTCTTTTTCAATCTAAGATGGAGGGCAGAAATAAAAACTGTATGCTTACAGAGACTATGGCTACCTTTGAAGACCTAGTCCAAAACGAGAAAAGGGGAGATTCAGGGGGCTAATACGATGGCTTAGTGGGTCAAGGTACTTCCCACTGAACCTGAAAACTTGAATTCAATGCTTCGAGGTCCCGCATGGTGGAAAGAGTCAGCTTCTGCAAGCTGTTCTCTAACACCGACATAGTGCACGCATGTGTGCATGGGCGTGCACACAATCTCTCTCTCTCACCATACACTCATATGCAAAAATAAGTAAATATAAAGTAGAATGTCTTTAAAAGAGAAGATTCAATAAGGAGACAAGGAGACTTAGAGGAGAGAGTGAGACCAGAAACAGGCAAGAGGAAGCTGCTGTCCCCTTTCATGGAGATTTCTGAATTCTGTCACCTCATGGCTCAGCTCACTTGGAGATACCTAAAGATCATCCCCTTTCCAATTGTTGCTAAAGTCCTTCAAGTTTCAGATCCTTATGTTAAGGTGACTGTCCCCAGTCTTCCTTGAAACTAGGTGCAGCTGTGCTTCTAACTGCAGTACAGTGGGTGGTGCAGTAGCTGCAGGCGTTTTTGGGTAAACACGTCAATGGGAGGCTTGCCCACTGCTGCTTTTCCCTTCTCACTGGCTGGTGGTGATGGTATTGAGAACATCTGGCCATCAGGTGGAGAACATCAGTAATGGGATGGTAAAGCAGGATTGTGAACAGATCTAGGTCCACAGGGGTGTTCATGGATGGAGATGCCTCATCCCTCTGCTCTCCTTAGAAGCCTGGATGCTCACATGGCAGGAAAGAGGAGTAAATTACTGTCTTATTTATGGCACTTAACTATTGTCACTGGGAATTGAACCTAGGACTTTATCACAGGCTAGGCATGTGTTACAAAACTGTACTATGTCCCCAGTCCTCTCTTTACATTTCATTTTGAGACAATTGAGATAGGGCCTTACTGCTGAAGCTGCCCCTAAACTCACCTTGTATCCCAGGTAGGCCTTGAACTTGGAAATAGCCTCTTGCTTCTACCTCATATTTAGCTGGGATCAGAAGCCTCAGCCTCTGGGATAGGTTTTTTCCACATCTGGAAGAAGTTAGCAAACGTGAGATCAGAAAAAAATAGCTGCCTAAAGGAAATGATGCTGCGAAGTATTAAGACAGAATCTCACCACTGGGAAGGATATCTTGTCTTCATTTCTTTCTGAAAGAAAATGAAAATTCTTAGGGCTTAACTAAGAGATTTATAGACAGCAGCATGACTTACTATGGTGGTTTGAAAGAGAATGGCTCTCCATAGACTTATTTGAATGTTTGGTTCCCGGTAGCTCTTAGGACTATTTAGGAGGTGTGTCACTGGGGGGGCGGGCTTGGAGGTTACAAAACCCCATGCCAGACCTTACCTCCCAACCATCTTCTGCTTATCGATCAGACATGAGTTCTCAGCTACTGCTCCAGCACCATGCCTGCCTGCCTGCCTGCTGCCTGTCTGCCTGCCAGCAGCCATGTTCTCCTCCACGATGGTCATGGATTCACCCTCTGAACCTGTAAACAAGTCCCCAATTAAGTGCTTTGTTTTATTTTATGTTTCCTTGATCATGGTGTCTTTTTACAGCAATAGAAAAGTAACTAAGACATGACAGAACCATCTCTCCAGCCTTCACACTTTCTTTTTGTAATTAGAATTTTTTAAAAGCCATTTTTATTGAGTCAGGGTTTCACTTTGTAGCTCAGCCCAGCCTTGGGCTTTCAGTTTGTCCTGAGTGCAGAGGTTATAGGCATGCACTATGCCCAGCAGTCTTAATCTTTTTTTTCCTGAGATAGTGTTTCTCTGTGTAGCTTTGGAACCTGTCCTGGAATTTACAGAGATCCTCTTGCCTCTGCCTCCTGAGTGCTGGGATTAAAGGTGTGTGCCATCAACGCCACCACAACCACGGGGCATCTTAATCTTATTTTATAAAGATATCAAATCTATAAAATAAGATGAACTCACAGAATAAGCTTTTGTTACTGACTTCCTCCTTATTCTTACTATTTCCTACAAAGGTAATTTTTAGATATTAAATATTAAGATTATAAAATTCAGAGTTACCATCTTTGATTTCTACATACACATGGAACAATGTGGTACCTATTAATTGTGTGTGTGTGTGTGTGTGTGTGTGTGTGTGTGTGTTCTGGTTTATTTCTTTTCTACAACTTAATATGTGGCTAAGTATGGTGCCCCATGTCTGTAATTATTTGTATTTCTTCCCCCTACTATAAAAATGGTAACATAATGTTTATATTTTTGTATAGCTTAATTTTTTCACTTCATACATACCGGGGATAACCCCTTTTGCTTTTTAAAGCAGCAATACTCTGCAGGTGCACCCCAATGCATGTAGCAAATCCCCTGTGGGTGGGCATTGGGTTGTCTCCAGTCTTTGGCTCTAGTACAGAGCCTGGTGAGGTCAAGGGTTAACATACCTGCAATCCTGTCAGATTTCTCTCCGTCCTCCTCCACTGCAGCTATGTCACTTTGCATTCCTACTGGTAATAAAGGTGGTGTCTTTTTCCTCACAGCCTTGTCAAGAGAGTGTGGAGCCAAAGGTGGATTTTATTTAATTAATAATTAATTAAACTGTGTGTGTAGGCAAAGTAGTATGTGAGAAAAGGTATTTGCATGTACTTTTTTATTTTGCATGTACTCTGAGGGCTGCACATTTCCAGAAATAACAGAACAATAAATGGAGTGAGTGGATCAAGATCTTACTATTTCCCAGCTGGAAAAACCCATCTAATACACTGTTTTCAGATAGAGGAATATGAGCTATCAAAGTGATACACACAGATACTACACTTGCTCTTAGCCGGAAGGCAGATAACCAATTCAGTGTGTGTTTATTATTAGTATTAGTAGTATTAATTACACTATTGCTATTATCTTAAAACAAGGTCTCACTGCACAGCCCCAGCTGACTTTCAACTCAGTGTCTTCTTACCTCTAGCTCCTGAGTGCTGGGCTTGTAGGTGTTTGTCACCTGCTTCCTTCAGTGTATTATTAATTCACATTTTTTTACTACAAAGAGAAAGGATTGATAGTCATATACACTATAATTTCTGGTAGACTGTGCCCTACTTAGGCTAAGACCTCAGTCTAAGAGAAAGGAAGCAATTCTATAGACAGTTAAAAGTTAAAAGGCATCAAATTTCATACACACAAATTAAAACTAAATCTAGTTTGTCCTAATGCATTCATATTTAATATAAACAAATTTTTGCTGTTGTTAGCATAGTGTCTGTTGCAATGATAAATCACTGTAACTGAGAACAGAACATGGGAGAAAGTTCATTTGGGTTGTGGTACTCGGGGTTTTAGAACCTATGGTGGGGAACCATGGCACCAAGTGGCAGGCATGGCAGCAGAAGCAGCAAGTCCTGAGATCACATCTTCACCCACAAGCAGCAGGCAACAGAAAGAATAAGCTGGGGTGGAGGGCATGGGTTTGAACTTCAAAGCCCACCCTAGTTACATGATGAACTTCTTCCAACAAGATTACACCACTTTCCCATACAATGCTACAAGCTGGAGAATGGTGTTGTGTTCAAATACATAAGCCTATAGGGACGGGCATTCTCACACAAAACACCACAGCACCAAAAACCATTTCTCAAGGAAGAGATAAAAAACAAAAGAGGGAAGTGTGGAGTATTAGATGCTTGCGTTAGAATATCCAGAATATATAATGGACTTTTAAAATCATCAGGAAAAAGAAAGCAAAATATTAGAAAAAGACTTGAACAAATAGTTTTACATAAGAAAAAAACTGAATGAACCAAACCACCCAAGTAAAAATATTTTAGGAATTGGGAAAATAAAACTTTGATATTTGATGCATAGTGATGTATAAGTATACAACCAGTGGTCTAGCAAAAATTTTATATATATATATATGCATATGTATATATATGCATTCCTTAGAAATTGGAGCCCATTCTACCAGCACACATGCAAGAGAATGTTCATAGATACAAACTGGAACTAAACCAAATTCCTATGTACTATAGAATAGACAAATATGTTATCATATTTGTAAACTGTCAAGATGTTAATACCAGAGAGAAAAGCTCTAATTCATAGCATCTGCCAATTTCCATGGTGTAAATACTCCCTCCAGGGCCAATTTCAAGCTCTCAATATTGAATCAGTTAGCTTATAGAGTCCATGAACATTTAACCATCAGTTCTCAATTGGGGAAGCTGGCTTCATTACATTCCTGGGAATATTCCTAGGTTGTAATACTATTCAGTAATAAGAGTGAATTAATAATAGCTACAGGCAAAAGCATGGATAAATCTCATCAATGCTGTGTTTTACACAAAAACTCAAATAGCAAAAGAAGTCACAGAGCACGATTTCACTGGTACAGAGTTCAATATGGATCAATTTAAACAAGAATTTGCATACTTGTGTGGTACAAAGGTAAGTAGTAGAAAGGGTGAGTGTGTCCTAAATATGAGGACGCTGGCTAAATCTAATGTGAAAGAGAGGGATTCAAAATGGTAAAGGGTGTGTGGTAGGCTTCACCCCAGGTAATGTTCTATTTCTTGACCTGGGTGATATTTAAAAAAAATTGGTGTTTTTATCAATGATAGTTTATGCTGGAGAGGATGTGGAGAAAGGGGACCACTTGTCCACTGCTGGTGGGAGTGCCAACTTGTGCAGCCACTTTGGAAATCAGTATGGAGATTCCTCAGAAAAATGGGACTAAGCCTACCACAAGAACCAGAAATTCTACTCTTAGGCATATACCCAAAAGATGACCATTCATACAACAAAGACATCTGTTCCGCTATGTTCATAGCAGCATTATTTGTAATAACCAGAACCTGGAAGCAACCTAGATGCCCCTCAACTGAAGAGTGGATAGAGAAAATGTGGTACATTTACACAATAGAGCACTATTCAGCAGAAAAAAAAACAATGGAATACTGAAATTTGCAGGCAAATGGATGGCACTAGAAGAAACCATCCTGGATATATGGATTTTAGACATAGATCTGCAGAATGCCAGCCCACAATCCCATGGTCAGAGAGTCTGGGAAACAGACTTCCATCCAGTGACAGAAGGAAGCAGAGGCAGACTCCCACATCTAAACATTGAGCTGAACTCAAGGAACCCAGTGACAGAGAGGGAGGACTGATGTGCAAAGGGGCTAAGACTGGGCTGGTTTAACCCCCAGAAACAGCTGACCTGACAAGGGTTAGCTCTTGAATCCAAGACTGATGCCTGGGAATCCAGCATGGGACTGATCAAGACCCCTTGAATGTGGGCGTCAATGAGGAGGCCTAGATAATCTTTTGGGCCTTGGGTAGTAGATCAGTATTTATCCCTGGCATACAAATGGACTTTGGGTGCCCATTTAACAATGAGGGATGCACTCTCAGCCTGGACTCTTGGGGGAGGGTCTAGGCCCTGCCCTGGATGAAATGACAGATTATGGACACCCCCATGGAGGGCCTCACCCTCCTTGGGGAAATGAGGGAGTACGGGGGGGGTTGGTGGGAGGTCATGGGAGGAGAGGAGGGAAAGGGACCTGGGATTGACATGTGAAGCAACCTTGTTTTTAATTTAAATTTAAAAATAAAATTTAAAAAATTGGTGTTTTAAAAATGTATTCTTGTATGCATTCTGTTTTGCATGTATTAAATCAGTGGTGTACTGCAGTCTGTCAAAATCGACTTGTACCCAATCATAAGAAGCCCCTAAGCTCAACTATTCCCTGTTCTGCCTCAGTGATGTTCTGTTGAATGCTTGACACCAACCGGATGTGGAACATGTACATCGAGAAATTGACAAACACACACACACACACACACACACACACACACACACACACACACACACGCACGCACGCACACACGGCAGAGGATTTTTTCCCCTGAAGAATGTGTTTATTAACCCACCACTAACAACACATTTGAAGTAACCATATGATTCACAGCATTGGCATATTGAAGAAGGTTAATGCCCTCAAAAGTCTCAAATCAAAACCAAATAAAACAAAGCAAAATGCCAACAACTAAACATAAAAAGATGCTTTTAATAATAAAGGAAAATGGAATATAAGATGTGAAAGATAACTGGTTGTGAGGAATGTGAAGTGCTTGATAGTCTCCATTGACATATAATGAAAACCATCGAACTGATGCTAAGATTAAGGAGTCTATCTCGTCATTCATTGCTGAACACTTTGTAGGAGGCAAAGGTGGAGAGGATGCCATTGGCCATTCAACTTGACTGTCTCATCACCTTCTACCCACATGGTACTTCTTGGCAGTAGGCGAGCAACTAACCTATAGTAATTATCTGGCACAACATAGGTTCCCTGTGAAAAGAACACTGACTTTAAATCTGCATATTTACATGGATTTATGTTCTCAAAATGTGTGACTGTAAGATATGGTGTCACCTTTGTTCATTTCTGCTTTCCTGGTGATAAGCAATTTTGTTTTTATTCTTTTCAAGACAGGGTTTCCCTGTGTAGCCTTGGTTGTGCGGGAACTCACTCTGTAGACCAGACTGGCCTCAAGTTCACAGAGATCTGCCTGCCTCTGCCTCCCAAGTGCTGGAATTAAAGGTGTGCACCACTACTACCACCACATGGTTTGTAAGCAATTTTAAATATCACACTATATTAAAATAATCATGGCCCCATAATAAAATTTAACAAATTTCAGTTTCCATGGGGAAATTTTGGACTTGGGTTTGGCTTCTTCAGATAACTCTGAACAAGTATACAGAAGTTATATTGCTAAAGAAATGTTCACTTCCCCCATAGGCACACAAGGTGACTAACAGTAGGACTGAAGCCTGGCATCTATGCCTCCATGCAACATGTCTCCTTGCCATAACTTAGACTCTAGATTAAGTGCTCGTGGGTATGCCAACCCCCATGTTGATATAGAAATAGTAATATAGAAATTAGTGATAACCTAGTTTCACTCATTCCCTTTCATGGTTGAAGATAAAAATAGCTGAGACATTTTATGCCAATTTTAACAGACTACAAGAATGCTTTCTGAGAGTCTCCAGTCATTGTCCTAAACCCCCTTGGGTCTCAGGAACAGTAGACACTCACAGACAGGCCATCACATGGTTGTGATTCCCTTCAGCTAGGGGAAATTATCTCATGGGAACTTTCTCCCACAAAGAAAACGATAAGGCCCTCTTCAGGGCCATTTTGCATGAACAGAATTGAGTTAATGATCAACCACATCACATTTTGAAGATTACTTAAATGCGAATGTTTCTCATCCTGCACCCCAACTTTCCTCTATAGTACCCTCTATGGTAGCTTCAGTACCCTGAAGATGGACTAAAATGCCTAGTTTCCATCCTCTCCAAATGGCCATTTTGATTAAAAGCTGTGGTAGTTTTAATAAGAATGACCCCTGTAGACTCATATATTTGAATGCTTAGTCACCAGAGATTGGAACAGTTTGATAGGATTAGAAGGATTAGGAGGTGTGGCCTTGTTAGACCTTGTTAGACGAAGTGTGTCACTGGGGATGGATTTCAATGTTTCAAAAGCCAATACCATCTCTCTCTCTCTCTCTCTCTCTCTCTCTCTCTCTCTCTCTCTCTCTCTCTCTCTCTCTCTCTCTCTCTCTCTGCCTGTGCATCAGGATGTAGCTCTCAACTATGTCTCCAGCACCATGCCTTCCACCTTACTGCATACAGTATACGGTGATGATAATGTACTAAGCCCCTGAAACTGTAAACCAGCCCTAAATTAAATACTTTCTCTTATAAAATTTCCATAGTCATGCTGTCTCTTCATAGCAATAGAACAGTGACCAAGCTAAAGCCCTTCCTGTATTTTCAT